GCTCAAGCCCAAGCCCGAGTGGCTCGCCCGCCGAGCCATTTTAAAAAAAATTAATAAAATAAATAATTACATCTGCTTGCGTTTATAGTCAACTATAATAATATTATTATAAAAAAAGAATTGGATCGGTTGGGGTTTGGCTCGACTCGTAAAGACCCAAGTCGAAAGCTCAAGCCAAGCCCAAATTTTTTGGCCGATCTCAGCTCGGGCAAAAAAAAGTTCGAACCATTTTTACTCAAGTCGAGCCTAAACTTCAAGTTTCAACTCGTTGAAACCCTTAATTCACACACTAATTTTTAATTCAAAATGCTCTTTAGTAAAAAACACCTTTACCCCCATTTGGTTAAAAAAAAGTGAAATAAAATATAAATTAAAATCAACAATTAATTATTGTAACTACCCAAATTTTTAATATTTAAATCGCTATCAAACATTTCATTAAAAAAATTTACGTGACAAATAATTATTAATAAATTTATGTAAAGGTAGTTTAAACAAGATTAATATGAAATTTTCCATATTCTTTAATTTATTTATTTATTACCTAATTAATGCATATCATGAAAATCTCATCCAAGGTAATCTTTAAAGTTGAACAGGAAACTTACCTTTACAAAAAAAGAAGTCCACAATTAATATGTGCAGTTAGTGTCCCTAAATTGCAATTGCATCTGTTTCTCCTAACAAGTTACACTAAAATCGAATTCATTTAATTTATTTATGCATAACACGTTTTGTTATATACATGCTAGACAAATAAATATACGATAAAATATTGATTTCACAAATTCAACATCAAACGTGTTCTAAGTTCAAATAAAGGAACAGATTAATAAATTAACAAAATAAGGTTACTACTGTTGTTTTGTATCTTAATCATGGAAATGAAATTTCCCATGCTAACTTTGCTTGTCAGAATTTCCGTTTCAACTTCTGTTTCTAAAAACTCTTTTAGCCATACAAAACATTTTCATAAAATTATCCAAAAATATTCAAAAGCAGCTTTTGACTTTTTAAAAGTCTTGTCAAACTGCCCTTAAGGAATTAATCACAATAAACATCCTAGATATTCAACACATGCTGTAATATAGTTTATTTTATCCAATAAACCAAATTGTGTTGTAGGAATAGGCACTCAATGCACAAATTAAATAGCAAATCCCAATCACAAATGTAGTTTACAAATGACCCTTCATATACTGCTATTTTAACGTTTGCTTCTGGTAAAAATCACAAACTAAACTAAGCCGTATCTTATTTTATGTAGCAATTTCATCAACCTCGGAATTAAATACAAAACTGGGAAATGTAGTAGTTATATCCCTGCATTTAGCCACAATATATAAGAAAAAAAAAAAATTAAACGGTAAAATTCCAAGCGATGCATGTTATTGAACGTGACCAACAAATATTACGTTACCTCAAATATGGAAGTGTCATTATCTTCAACAGTGAAGGATTTCGGGACACAAAATTGTGCCATTCAGATTTATCTATTTTTCCATCCTGGTCAATATCAGCTTCCAAAAATGTCTGTTCAATGAAATAACAGAAAAACGTGAAAATCTAAATTTCAAGAAAGAGTCGAGAAACAGAAGCCAGATTACAGTTTTCCAGTTTGTTAACTATTAAAAATGTAGAGAGTGAATTTTGCACGAAAGGAGATGGAAATTTTACTCCCCGATAAAACTACTCAATAACTATGTCCCTGTAATAGAGGAGCATCAGATTCTTAAGATCCAGTCTCCAAGGTTTTGCACGCCTCAGGAAAGAACAGAAAATGGTTGGATGAAAGATAAGGCAAGGCTTGAACCCTTGTTTTTACACTACCCAACTAACATGCCAAACATAATTTGGCATCAAAATCCAACTTCTGAAAAGCCATAAAAGTTCAGATATCAAATAAATCGCCCATTCTCTCTTTTCTTTTCATGTTCTCTTTTTACCTTCTCTACATTTCCCAGACGAATTTAATCCAACAGGCCAGAATGCTACAAACTGATACATGCCACGAATATAGGAAGTAAAATCCAGATGCACAATAGCGCATATACATTAATCTCACAAAATAACTACATAAGCAACTAATGCCTCTGTAATGAAAAGGCATCGAGTCCAAGAAAACCGATCTCCACTGTTCTGCATAAGCAAAAATACGCAAAAAGGTGTAAGGAAGAAGAGAAAAAGGGCGTGACTTAGCCATTGCGCTGCAATACCCAATAATGTGCCAAAAATAATCAAGCATCAAAACCCATCTTCTCATAGCCCTCAAAGTTCAGATATCGAACAAATAGACCCTACATTTCTTTTTTTTCATTCTCTTTTTACTTTTTAAGTCCCATCCAAGTCTTTTGCAAGAGTCCACCGACAGAACTCAGAATAAAACATACAAGTATGTGCCACAAATAGAAAAATAAATTTAAAATGCATAAAATGAAATGTATATGATTAAATCAACCCCACAAGATAACTACTCAACAACTATGCCAGTCTACTGAAGAGTAACATCCTACAAGACTTCAAATCTTGTTTTACACTACCTGAATAACATGCCAAACATAATTGGGCATCAAAACCACCACTTGAAAAGCCAGAAAGTTTAGACATCAACTAAATATACCTTTTATTTTATTTTTTCAATCAGTACTACCCTTCAAATTCCCCAATAAAAGTCACTGAAGGGAAGTATTCTTAATCCAGAGCGCATTGCTCAAGTCAACCTTGGATAGGCTTTTCTTGAGATCAAACCTCTCCTAACATCTTGGGCCCGTAGCCTCATAATCCTACCTGAATGATTATTGATTAGTATATTACATTTGATAGAACGCCCCCCAAGTTGATATTTCCGGAATCTGCTAGACAAAGAAAGAGGAAAAGTGGTGATCTTCTCCTCCTCTCACCCTCATGATAATCTGTGCTAAATGGATACACCCTTCATAGGCAGATCATTTTGAACTTTGCACTGCCAGAGACACTTTCTCAGCCCAAGTTTCAAAGACACGTGGCATTTTCTTCTTCTAGGTTTCATTATCTCCTATTATGCAGCGAGTCGTGTAGGACCCTCCAAGACGCAATTTCTTAAAAAAGTACCGACACAACACGTCACCGAAAATTTAATTTAATTCTTTAACATTTTTCATTTATATAGTATAAATTTTGTTTTATACTTTTTATTAATTTTTCTTGTTAAAATCTTTTTTTTTAAAAAAAGTACATATTTGTTATTTAATAATAATTTTGAGTTAAAAATATATAATATTTCCGATAAAGGAAAAAAATAACTATGGGTGTCCGAGTAGAGTCGATATTTGACATGTTGGACGTGTATCGGGAAAATTTCAGATTGATTTTCTTCTCCAGAGGTGTGCAGTTTCGAAACCTGAGTTTTTCGCTTTGATTGACATGCCAACCTAGTTGAAATGTCTGTGCAACATATATTATCTCACCATCTCTTTCTCTCCTCTTCCATCTCTTAAGCATACATGCATCTCTCTTATGTATGTGTATAAAGTATGTACTCCCACACAAACCCTACATACATCTAAGAATACAGTTTTGATTTTTTTTTTTTTTTAAATTGACGAAATTTGAGATTGATATTTGCCATAATTTTACGTTCTTTGTTTAAAATAACATACTCAATGTGAAACTGATTAGTTAGAATAATAATTTGCAGTTCGGAAAAACTCAGGTTCTAGTATTAAAAGTCTTGATGCAGGCTCAAGTTCAACTTAAGGATATTCATACTGCAGCCATTCCTCAAGCCTTGTTGTCTCGAGTTTGATCAAAATCAAAATAAGCTCGAGAATTGTATTCGTTGAGCTCGGGAGTGGAAAAAAATTGTGAAGTATTTGGCTCAACTCATCTCAGCGTGAATGCACTGCTAATCCAAGACATTAAGCCATGTACGTCACAAAGAGGACATGAAGCATGCAAGTGAAGTTGTGTAAAGATAAGCATCCGTTGGCATTAGCACTTACTTTGTCCAGAATGATCTCAATCGTTTCATCGGCCAACTTCATTTCCGACTCACATAAAAGTGCAATCAACATTTGCTTAACCTGCGAAAATCACAGATGATGAAGACCCTGCAAATTGGTTTAAATGGAAAAGCAAACAATAGTACTAAAACCGCATGCTTCAACAAATTTTCTTTAATTCATCATTCATAACAGTACAACAGAAAAAATAAAAAAACTGTTCGCCAAATTCGTGAATTGCATGATGAGATGAGATGTAAAATTGCTTTTAAGTAATATAAACTACAAACTTACATATGATTCACACCGTAGGCATATGGAATTTAGGGGGTGTAATCAATTGAGACTTTTGAAAACTTTGATGGACTTTTTTTAAGTGACGACTTTTGTAGATTTCGTGGATTTTTTAGAGATT